ATCAAGGCCTATCAAGTAAGGGAAAAAAAGCAGAATGGTTTAAAGCAATAGAACGAGAAGTGCTCATTAGACCAGAAAATAGAGAAATTAAAAGACAATGTAGAACAATCAGACAAAACACTCAAGCAATGCAGATGAGATAGAAGTGTATCTCAGAAGACAAAAGAAGAAAAGAATGGGTAATACATAGTGCATAAAACAACTGACAGTTGGGAAAGATAGTTAAGAAAAAAAAGAAAAAAATACTAATAGAACATTGGCAAATGCAGAGTAAAGAAAGTAAATTAGCTATCGAAATTAACAAATGTAAAGGTTGTACAAGAGAAGAAGAGCATCTGAAAGATAGCTGCCAACAGTGGATAAGAGTAAATAACAGAATCAATGTAATCCATAATGCATTAATAAAAAAAGATAGTAATAAGATCAAGATAGCGATAGATCAAATAACAGAAGCAATGAAAACAAGCAAACCAGTAATAGGAGAACAGAAACTAGAAGGACTGAGAATAGTAGAAAAACCAGAGGTAGAGGTAGTTAGGTAACAAAAGTTAAAAGACAGCATTAGTCAAGAAATAGTAAAAGTTTTAAGAAGGAATATAACAAGAAACAAAAACAAGTATATAATATATACAGATGGAATAGCAAACCTGAAGATTAAAAAAGAAGAAGCAGTATGGGCATAGAGTGGGTGCAAACAGACAAAACACAAGAATGATCAGAAGAAGAGATGGCATTGGGTTTAGAAGAATGGCAAACATCTACAATAGCTGAGTTAGTAGCAATATGGGTTACAATCTTAATGATACCAAGAGAGAAACAAATAGAAATATATATGAATAGCAATGCAGCAATAAGGAACATTAGTAAAGGTTTAGAACAAGTTTGCAGAAATAAGATCCTTAAAAAGAAGAATGCAATATGGATAATGAAAATTAGAGAGCTTATTAGGACAAAGAACATTCAGATAGAGTTGATTAAAGTCAAAAGCTACAGTAAAGATAGATGGAATGATAAAGCTGATGGTTTAGCAAAAAAAAGTGCAACAAGTGAAGAAATAATACAGATCAGAAAAGTCAGTTGTGAAGAGATAGAGTACTGCTTAGAGTAGAAAAACAAATGTACTAACATACTAGCAAGACTACTATGCAAATTGATAATGAATACAAGATTAGGAGCAGAATGAAAAGAAGCAAAAGCAATTAAAGAATTGGAATCAAAAACAGAAGTTACAATTTATGATTGGACATATTTTTGGAATAGACTAAAGATATCTAAAGAAGTACACTGTACAACAAGAAAAAGCAGTACCAGAAGAAGTGCATTTATAAAGTGCATAATGAACAAGCTTCCAACCCTAGAAGAACTAAACAAAAGAAGACCAAAGTTACATACAACAACAGAGTGCCAAATGTGCCAAGATAAAATAAAAGAAACACAGATGCATCTGGCAGCATGTAAGAGACAAAAGAACCTGTAAAAAAGAATTCAAAAAGTAACTATCACAACAGCCTGAAAAGGGTTAAAGGAAGAAAAAAAAGTTCAGGTCCCTCCATATGTATTATATACAGCACTTTTTGGAAAAACAAAAGCAGAAAAAATTAAAACAAGAGAGGCATTAATTAAAGGTCTTATTTCAAAAGAAACACAGAACAGATTGAGGCAGCTTCTAAGTACAAAGTCAAGGCAGCAGTTTATGAAAGTAGTAGCAAGAACAGCCTAGGATACATTTTACAAACAAGTATGAAGAATCTAATATGAGAAGGTCAGTGAATAGGAAAAAAAAAGGAATAACAGATAGAATTAAAAGAAGAAAAGAAAAAAAGAAGAAAACATTAAGGAAAAAAAGAAAATCAAATCAGCAAGTAATTGAAGAAAGAAAAGAAAAAGCAAAAGAAAAAGAAAACCAAATCGGAAAAGAAGTACAAAAAACAATTTTAGAGCTTGTCATAAAAGGGAGAAGACCCTTTCATTATAGACTTTAAGTAGTTAGACGAGTGGCTTACTTCTGCTTGAAGTAATGCAGCAGGTTGCACTTAGGTACCATTAGGGTGGCTAGGTGATACTGAACTTAATTGTTAAGGATATTTATATAATTGCAAATATAATTTCAAAATCTTAATAAAGCACTAGCATGACTGCTTAAGGGAAAAAAAAAAAGTTTTTCATTAGCAGTCAAAAAATTAAAATCAGAACAAGAAAAAAGAAAACATTGCTAGGTGCTATTATAGAAAAAAATCAAGAACCAGAATGAAGTTAGATGCATTACAACTAGAAAAAGTAAAAGACTCTATATACTTTTTAAATATATACAAGAAAATGCTAATACTTAAAGAACTAGTAATAAAATATCCAAATCTATATACAGAGTTAGACTGCATTATGTACAAAGAAAAAAAAGAAAAAGATCAATATCATTTATTAGTCAGTTACTTTTATAAGAACCTTTGACTAAAAACAAAAATACTAACAATAATAATAGCATAAAGTAAGCTATTAGATGTCAAAAAAAAAATATTACACAAATGCAACTAAAAGAAGCAATTTGGGATCAAATGAAAGAAGAAAAAACAGAAGTATAAAATAAGTTTATTAAAGGTTTTTACAAAAAAAAATAATCAAAAGAGTACAAAATATATTAGTCTTATTAAAAAAACAAGAAATTTTTTAGTAAGTATCATAGATATGATATAAAATAAGTTTTATAAAACAATTTGAAAAAAAAGATGCAGCAAAATATATAAATAAGAAAAAAGTCAAGACATCAGTATAAAAAAGAAAAGAAATAAGAACTAAGTACCAAAATAACAAATTAAAGTAATAAACAAAATAATATTAAGATCAAAAAATAAAAAATCAGAAAAAAAAAGTATAAAAAAAAAAAAAAAAAACAAAAGGTTTATGAAAAAATATAATAAGAAGATTAATTAATATTAATAAGAGGCCTTACTGGAATGGTCTTAAAGACTAGTTTAAATAACTTTCTAATAATAAGTAGCAACTCATACTAGTATAACAAACTATCTTTGAACACTGGTACAGTAGCCAAAAGATGTCAAACCTAGAAATTAAATTAAAATTTGTATAATTAAATATGCAATTCTCTTAATAAAAAATATTAACAAGCCTACTAAAAAATTAAAAAAAAAATAATAATTAAAAGAAAATAATCTTTTGAAATTAATTTTATCTATATTATAAAATAAATACTTAAAAAATAGATTAAATGCACAATCAATTGAAAATAATACTAAAATTAAAAAAAGTTATAAATTAGTAGCAACAACAAAGACCTAACTTAAAATATATACTATTAGTATCTAAATTGAAAAGTTAATAATAATAATAAACTTTAACTTAAAATATATACTAGAGAAATACTCTTTAAACAAATCAAAAATAAGAACTCTAAAAGAATAAACAATTTAATAAACTAATTTAAAAGTTATTAAAATAAATTGTAAGATAAAAAAAATATTTAAATTACTTAATATAATTAGTAGTAAAACCAAAATACAGATTAAATATAAGTGAAAATAATACAGATCGAACAAATAAATAAAGGATAAATAATAAATAAATAATAGAAAAAAAATCTGCTATTATTCTACATTATATTTGCCAAATAATAGCAGCATAATAGCAGTATAACAGCAGAATAAGAGTAAAATAATAGAAGGTTTGTCAATATGAGTAACATAATAGTAACATAATAGCAAAATAATAGAACAGTTTTATTATTTTACTTTTAGTCTTTGTAATTAAAAATAAAATAATAGAACTGTTCTATTATTTTGCTATTATGTTACTATTATGTTACTCATATTGACAAACTTCCTATTATTTTACTGTTATTTTGCTGTTATGCTACTGTTATGCTACTATTATTTGGCAAATATAAGGTAGAATAATGACAGATTTTTTTTCTGTTATTTACCTATTATTCATTCTTTACTTATTTGTTTGACTTGTGTAATACAAAGTTCTAGTAGGTTCAGGTTACAAATAAGTATATCAAAATTCTATATTCAAATAAATATATAATAATAAATAATATATAATATAGAATTGTATAAGCTATAACAAATATACTAAAGAACATGACCTCATCTTAACATTAAAAAAAAATTTTTAATATCAAATAAACCTTAAATTTCTAATAAAAATTATAAACCATATTCTAATTCTAATAATAATAAAAATATTCAAGTTTGTAAATCATAAATTATTGATATTTTCTTTATAATTATATAATTTTTACATATTCCAGCATTTCAAAAGTTATAAAAATAATAGTAATTTTCTGCCAATTTTTACTATAAAATTTATACCCTTCAATTACAATCTACTAAATTTTTTTTTATTTAAAAAATTTTTATCAAATTTGATCAAATAGTTGTATAGTTGTCATAATATCTTCGTTTAAAATTTTAAAAAATTTTAATAAAACCAATTTGCTTGGTTTCTACTGACCACCCTTCATGTATTGAAGTTCTTACCTAAAAGGCGTAAATGCATAATAAATTTCATTTTTAAACAATTTATGATATTTACATTCAAATGATTTTTAATTGTGCATATTTTATTGGACAAAATCGTAGCTCCCAAAGTTTTTCTAAATGCCAGCAATAAAAAATATTTGATCTACGAATTCAAACCGCTAATCCTCGCAATTAAGTTCCTAGCTTTCTATTATGCTAAAAGATTTGGTATACACTACTTCCAAATCAAATCAATCTATAATTTTGACAAACTTCTGTAGTATAAGAAACTGCTTGGTAGATGTAAATGTGAATTATTATAAATAATCATAAAGAATATGTATATACAATATAATACACCCAAAGCAACCATATAAAAATGTATTATTATTCCAAATATTGATGGTGCGTATAATTTCAAAAAAGGAGCTAAATACCTAAAGAAAACAGAATAAATAAATTCACCATCATTTATTTATATAACCGGAAAATTAATTTACACATCTAAACATGCATACATGTTTATCTATGCCTTTTTGCCTTAAGAAGACGCCTTTGTTGGTCGAGCCGTTCTTGCTCTTCATCTTCCTTTCTTGCAATTTTGGAAGAGCGCGCTTCTTCATTGAACACATCCATTGCAGAGGCTTCCATTAGGTCGTCGTCGTCGTCGTCATAATGACGTACAGGACGATTACGTCTGAAAATTGATTGAATAATAGATGACACATTCGTTTCATCAATATTATCTTCACGATTTCTTATATGCTGACGTTTAGAAGGACGAGACGGCTCAGGTGAAAGATGCATTGTTCGTTTCTTGCTCATTTGTTGTGTGGGTGACAGAGTATTATTAGTTAATCTTCTTTTGATATTAGAAGGATCGCGAACTGGGTACTCTTCATGCGCTATACGTTTTCTGCCTGTAGATTGTAATAATTCCTTACGCACTAAATGTATCTTATCTCTAGCTTGTGGTGAATCACGGGCAATAGACAATTCTCGTGGTGTACGCTTATCACCCTTAATATTAGATGTCTTGTGTAATTCAGTGATTGATTTGGAAGAAGTTCGGCGAGCATCTAAACTGGTTTTGGATAAACTAGTGACTTTTTTCTCAATTGATGGACGATGTATTTGACTTTGAGTTGCAAACTTTGAGGCTGATTTATTGGTGACAAAATTGGAATTTTGGGTTCGTGCTAGCTTATTCAATTGAACAGGACTTGGTCGTGGTGGCACCGTGGAAAGGTATTTAATCACGTTCATAGGATGGTTAGGGTTCGTAATAGGTAATTTGAGTGAAGCAGGATCTAGAAGACGCTTTATACGAGGATAATATATTGTATTTGGAGGATCTCGCTCTGATGGTAATTTGTGGCCCATTGCCTCTGCTTCACGTTGATAGTCTTTAAGTGTCTTTAAATGAGTTAAATCTTTAGGCTTGTGGTGAGTAGAAACGGAGGCACTTTCCTCTTTTTTACCATTATTATACTCTTTTTTACCATTACTATACTCTTTTTTACTAATACTATACTCTTTTTTACCACTGCCATCCTCTTTTTTACCACTGCTATCCTCTTTTTTGCTATTGTTATCCTCTTTTTTACTACGGCCATTCTCTCTTCTACTAATATCTTCTTTTTTACCACTGCTATCCTCTTTTTTACCACCGCTATCCTCTTTTTTACTATTGTTATCCTCTTTTTTACTACGGCCATTCTCTCTTCTACTAATATCTTCTTTTTTACTACTACTAGGTATTTTAATATCAGGATCCGGTTTTTTAGAATTTGGAAAAATAGGTTCGCCAATAATTTCTTCAAGTGAGCAGGGTACGGCCTTTGGATACTTGAGTGAAAGATCCGGTACAGCCTTTCTTCGTAAATCGACTTTTGAAACGTCATTATGTGACATGTCATTTAATCGATTAATAGTTCTGTTATCTTTATTGATACTTTTATTTACTTTGTTGCCGGGTAGTTCAGATATTTTCTTAGACTTAATGATTGACACAGATTTGTTTATAGACGGCTCGAGCTTCTTCAAAACAGGAGAAACAGATTTACCCCCAATCTTCTTTAAGTTAGCACTTCCTTGTGATTTAATACTTCCTTGTGATTTAATACTTCCTACTGGCACATCTTTACCGTTAGATGGACGAGTACGTTGCTTTGGCGTTGCTGATTCCCAAATTGGCGCAAAGAATTCATCCCATGGATTTTCATTAGTTTTTGGTGACGCATTTTTACCATTCATTTCAGTTTTTGTGCGGAATATGAAAGCTTTACGAAATATTAAAGTATAACCTTTTGAGACGAGACAGTGGACAGTGACATAATTATATATATAATTGTCTTGGTTTTTCAGCCACATTATAGTAAGTGGCTGTGCATTACATCACTCTCATGTGATGAATTATTAAAAAAAGACGCGTTCGATTAAAAAAAAAAAACTTGACCAACCCCTAACAGAATTTTAGGATTAGTGCGGGCCGGAATATGTTGATGCCGGTCAAGGTTTTTTAATTGATTAATTTGACCTTGTTCAAGTTTAACTTGACCTAAAAATCAATTTGGCCCGTAACATATATATAGTACATAACATAAATACGATAATCAAATGCAACATATGAGCAGCTAGTGGTTTAGCGATGAAGTATGCTCTATAACTGATGAAGATAAAGAACGCCCATTACCCTACATCACTGACTATAGCAATAGTACCCAGAGTTACAAATTTATAACCCTGGGTGTTATATATATTAATTATAGCTGATCTAGTATAGCTTTTAATTTGGGCCTATACTATACTGATCTGCTATAATTTCTCGTGGTCAAAATTAATCTTAAGTCCGCGACTTACTGTAACTTTCCCGGTAATTTACCAATGGTAACTTATCATTTACAACCCTGGTGGGAGTGTTATTGAATGGGATAGATTAGTGAAGCAACAAAAATTCAGCAGAACATAGGCAGAAGTTTGTCTGGTTGGTTAATTTTTATAGACCGCCCCATGATTAGAAAACAAAAAAATCAAAAATAGATAGGTATACGTATAGTGAGACAAACGTAAGATTTATTATTAATAAATTGAAGAAATACAATACACGATATAAACCAAAAATTTTACAGTTAACAATCCCAAACATACTAGAAGAACGAACCAAACTTAAACATTAAACTTGGATATTCTACTACTAATACCTTGTACGTACCTATTCAAATCAAACAAAGTTTATTTAATATAACAAAGTTCTTAAGCGAAAAATTTCTAGTTACCTTCACTTTAAGCTTCAATAGACGTGATATATTTTATTATATTTTACCTTCTAAGAAAGGTCGCAGAAGTGGATCTTTTTTTGCATAGCAAATATTAACAAATACTCGAAGGTTACAAATAGCTTTGAAGATATTTATTAGTGCTGTAGTGAAACATTCTGTTTGGAAAAAGTACTTTAAAGCTACCTTCAAGTCTTTTCTTTACCTATTTAAAGAAAGTCACTACTAAGCTAACACCTCTTGAATTTTAGATTATTTTGGATTATTTTTAAGTGATTTTATAGAAGCGATATATAAATAAGCTACCCAGGCAATTGATTTGCATCAGCCAATCAAATAAACTTCTGCCTAATAAATTAAAATTAATTTGATACTATTTATACAGTTTAGAGTATCAATCAGAGCTGTAGACTCAATAGTCAAAAATAAGATCCGTTTAAAAAAATTAGAAGTTATTAGATCTTATTTTTGGCTATGGAGTCCTACAGCTCTAATGGAACCTTCTATACACGACCCTAATTTCTGTATTTGCAGTTACACTATTTAAAAAAGTATTTATATTAGTAATCAAAACGGTGCACACGTGATCCCAACGATTTTTATAGATATTTATATTAGTAATCAAAACGTTACACACGTGATCCCAACGATTTTTATTTATACGTATAAGATACTTGCATTAAAGATTTTAATCTTTTTTCCCAAAAAATATTATAAATGTTACACATTATTATTAATTCCAAATATAAGCTTGGCTTTCAAACCGCCAATAAGCCACAGCTCTAGGAATTATAAAGCAATTGTTCAATTGCTTTATATACATAGTAAACTTTAAGCAAAAATAAAAATAATTCCGTAGAAAAGTTATTCTCTATAACAGTCTAGTAAAAGTTTGTCGATTTTTGCATTAGTTTCTGAGTAATCTAGATAAAACCAATTAGCAAAAAATTTTTTATGCTGTTTGGTTTTTAATCGGTTGTATTTAAATTATTTAGAAACTAATATAAAACCTATAAACTTTTATTACGTAGAAACTGTTACATATAAAGAAATAACTTCTACGTACGTATAATTTTATTATTGCGACAAATAAAAATTAACTGGTTTTCATATTGAGTACAATAGTCATGGCGCAAAAATTTATCGGTCTCGTGACCTAATCGGTGCTTCAAATTGGCTTTGCAAAAGATCTTCATCCAATCACATTTTATGAAAAAAAATTTAGTTAACGTACCGGCAAATTTTTGTGCTACCCTTTCATTTTTAGCTGGGTTCAAAATTAGAAAAATTCAAATTTTTTCTATGTTCCAGTAAGTAGATAGTCAATCAAATCATATTATTTTATAACATATAAAATTGGTAAAATTAAATTTTATTAAAAGTTATTTTGTATAATTAATTTATTTTTTTAATGTTAAGTACTTGTGATCTAGAATTTTATTAATAATATATTTTAGCTTTGTGATTGTATTACAACAGTTATAGAAAGCAATTATAGGAAGAATATCAACTAGTTATTTATATAATTTTAGTTATTTAATTTAAGTAGTTTACCTAAAGGTTTTATATTAGTTGTTATACTTAGAATCTGTTTTTAAGTTTTTTATTTAAAATATTTTGATTTTTGTATTTATCTATTTATTTATTTTACTAACTGTCTTAGTTTTTTTTTTTTTAAATATGTTATAATTATTAAGTTTTTAAAACAATTTACTTATATATATAAAAAATCTTTAATCTTGTATTAAACATATTGAAGTTTTTTATTATTTTAATTTTTAGTTAATTCAGTATTTTATTATAGTTAAGATTAATATTTGCAATTAAAATTAATTATATTTTTATAGAATTCATACAATCTTAGTATTTCTTTTTACAACTTTACTAATATTTTATATGTTTTTATAACTTTTTTTATACTATTAATCTAGTTAGTTTTGTATAATACAACTTTATGTTCAATTAACTAATTAGTTAGATTGATAGATTTCTTTTATATTAGAGTTCTTATTTATACAGATTATCTGTTTTAAGCATTTTTTAGGAAATTATAATTTGGTGCATCAGTACATTATAATGCACCTATTATACTTTAAGGTAAATATATTAGCACATAACAGGTTTTTTAGTTAAATTATATAACTTTGTATAATACACATAATCTTGTATAATACAACATATAATCTTATATAACAGCATAATATATATTTGTTTTATAAATTATTAAGGGTAGGTGGCATGTAGATCATTTTTATATAGTTATGTATAGTATATTAAAATTTTCATCTAAAATTGATATATGTTACTAATAAAACTTT